TGAAATCGGACGAAACTATATATGGGAGCTATATCTAAATCTGGACCGATTTTCACGAAACTTGGCAGACATCATTCTAGACCTAAATGATTAGGCTGTACTAAATTTCGTGCAAATCGAAAGATATATGTGGACTTTGGTGCACCATTTACATGAAATCGGACGAAACTATATATGGGAGCTATATCTAAATCTGGACCGATTTTCACGAAACTTGGCAGACATCATTCTAGACCTAAATGATTAGGCTGTACCAAATTTCGTGCAAATCGAAAGATATATGTGGACTTTGCTGCACCATTTACATGAAATCGGACGAAACTATATATGGGAGCTATATCTAAATCTGGACCGATTTTCATGAAACTTGGCAGACATCATTCTAGACGTAAATGATTAGGCTGTACCAAATTTCGTGCAAATCGAAAGATATATAGGGACCGTTTACATTAAATCGGTTAAATATATATATGGGAGCTATATCTAAATCTGAACCGATTTTTCCCAATTTCAATAGGGTTCGTCCTTAGGCCGAATAAGTGACCTATGCCAAATTTCATCCAATTCGGATCATAAATGCGACCTGTACTTTGTTTACAATTTAACATGGACAGACAGACGGACAGACGGACAGACGGACAGACGGACGGACGGACGGACGGACATGCATAAATCGACTTAAAAAGTGATTCTATGCATATTCTCAAAAGGAACCATGTGTATCTCGTTTCCTTTTGCCTGTTACAAACATATGCACAAAGACATAATACCCTGTACCACAGTGTGGTGAAGGGTATAAAAATACACACACCTCACCACCTCTGCTCTACTGAACATAGCATCCCGTTTCTCGGTTACTGTTGCTCATCGAACACAGTTGTGTGCGTGTATAAGAGCTTAAAAGGTCTTTGTGTATATGGCGTATTTACGACTCACAATGAGGCGTAATTTGTTACTTTATCCCTCCTGCGCTTAGTATAGCTTGTCTGTATGTGTGTATGCAAGTAAGTGTGTGTGTGTGTGTGCGTGTGAGTATTACTAAACACTGGATCAACATACTTTCTTTTTATTTTATTTTTACTACCACCATTAAATAACGCTATGTGTGCATGGGTGTGCGTATTTGTCTGACTGTTGTTACTGTTGCTACATTGCTTTGGTGCCGTATAGATGGGTAACCGGGTGGAGGTCAGGACATGGTGTGCTCTTAGTATTGTACTTGCGATGCGGCATGCTGCGACAAAATTGTTGTATGGGATTCATTCATTCAATTCATTTGCAGTGGGGGGCAATGTTAGCCCCTATGCCAGGCAAACAAAATGCAAACTTTTTCGTTTTCCCGGATTTTATTCTCAGTTTGTGCGTTTACATTCGTTGTTGTTGCTGTTTCGTTATTTAATTTTGTTGGAATTATTATTGTTGCTACTGCTGCCGCTGCCATGGCGATTGTTGTTAACATTGTGGTTGTTGCTGTTACCGAGACCTAGTAATATCTAAAAAATCATCATCATAAATGAATGAAGTATTTATGCCTTTTAAAGCTGTTCTTAATAAAAATGAACAATAACGAAACAAAGAACTCACATAACGACAACATAAAATTAATCTGCTAAAACTTTTCCCAATTCTGACATACATACAAACGTTCATACTTGTTTGCGGACAAATGAACATATTTTCAATTCGAAGCAATTCATTCATGACAAAATATTGATTTATGCGTTGCCACATATCAGTCAGATTTAAAGATTTATATTTAATGCATAAATCAATTAATACAATAATTTTACAATTTTCATTAAATGTTATGAGGGGTCGGTTTGAAAAGCGTCCATCGTGATAAAAACGAAATCGGTATTGGTATATACCGATGTTAATACCAAAAAGGTTCAATATCTTCGGTAGAAAATCCCCAATGCCAATGATTTACAAAATGAAAAATAAGATAAATTATAAAACTACATGGTTTAATCATTCGTGTCCTAAATTTTAACAGAACATCGTTCAAAATTATACTTAATTTTTAAGTAAAATTTTCGTTAAAAACGACAGTTACTTCAACCTATTGTAATATGGGCTGTCGGGGGTATTATTAGTAAATAAAATATATTCTTATGTTACTTTGTGTAAAAGTATATATTTCTGAGGAGTAATAAATCAAATCTTTAAAATAACACGTAGATTACGAAAACATTAAAATTGGCAAGAACCAGCAACACTGATATATTTTCATTTTACATTTATAAACGCGTAATAAATATGCAAACATCTTTTTATGACGTGTGGTCTTTTATTGAGGGTGAACGGGCTCCGCAGCATATAGATCCCTTGAAACAGGCACTATTAAAGTAAATATCAGATATCGCCAAAATCAGTAAAGTTTGTATGTAAATCGATTTATGTTGATTGATAGATGTTTACAACACATTTTCATATCCAGTTTCTCGCTTTATGAACTTGTATATCGCATGTTCGTTGGTAATTGCAATGCAGTTGGTAGAGGGTAGGCATGCTAATATTTTGATAGCTTTTTAACAACAAAGAAAAAAATTGGACATGACGATAGTTTCAATTGTGTTTTGATACGATGCATGCTCACATTTAAAATAATTACGACAAACGCTGTTGGAAACATGAATTATGTTGTTTGATCAATAATTTGAATTGTTTTTTGGAAAACTTAAATAAATCTAGGAAGCAACCTGAAAATACTTTTCTTTCTTCCTTTCTTTGGGTAACTTCAAAGCTATGGTAACTTTATTATTGATTGCCATTCAGATTAGATTTTCATTTCAAGACCATCGTCTTTCTGATTCATTGTTTTGTCCTTCGGTTACTTGTAAATGTTGAGATTTTATTTTACGCATATAACGCGCATAAATCATTTACAATGTTTATAAACAATATCAATTTATTTCGGTGCTGTAGCTATTGTTTGCTTCGCTGCCGCTGTGATACTATATCTAATTCGTTGTCATCCATAACTGACATTCCGACCCCGTTTGTTTTATCCACAGCCGGAGCGAAACAAACGTTTCACTCGAATATATCAACACAAATGGAGCAGAATTAATGTGACAGCGCAAACATGCTAAGAAATATTTCCTTGTATCTGCAAACTAAGATTTCTACTTTTCCATTTACATGGAAATCTGAGGCGTATGAGTTATATACCATGTTTCCCATTGACTGGGCGCATTCTGTTGCGAGGGGCATATATAAAATGCGGCGATATTTCCTGAAACTAGAGCCAATCAACCAAACTAGTATACCAAACTTAGTGTAGTGTCCTCGTACCGCCTTAGAAATTATTAATATATACAATACCTACATTTAAACATTCGTTTTCGAAAGTATGCAAAAATTTATCTTCGCTTTCCCTCCGCATCCCTCCGCATCAAAGCCAACTTACCCATGTTCTGATAACCGGCTGATGACTGTTTGCTAGGAGCTTGCGTCTACCCCGTACACGTGGCATTTGAAAAATTATTTAATGTGCTTAAACATAAAGAATCACAGACAAAGGCATATGTTTAAGTATTCACTTGAAGTGGTGGCGGTCTGGTACTGATGGTGGTTGAAGTCATTAGTAAAGCTAGACGTTGAGACTGACAGAGCCGATGTTGGCATTCACACACACCAACACATGTACCACATAGGTCGGCCCTCACATTTTTTGTGGATTTTGAGACCCATACAGTGCCTTTTCTCGTCGACGAAGCTCTGAACGCTTCAAGTTCATTTCCATAAATAAAGCAAACACTTTCCATTTACATATGCCTTTCAAATGTCGTGATGGTGTGTGCGAGGGAGTGAATGTATTGATACACTATTGCGAATAGATAGAGATATGAATTGAATGGGATGGTTGTCTTATTTCACGCTATCTTCTGTAAGTAGACGTACAAACTTGTAGAAGAATTCAATAATATTCACAACAGTTTCAAGCACTACGGAAACTTTTTTTTCAATTATGATCGATTTGTAAATAAATTTAAATTAGCAGAGCAATGAACGACGAGTGGCAGTAAATTATATTGTTTGAAAGAAGTTAAATGAGAGCAGTGTATGCAAAGAAGAATTGATTGTCGGAACAAATAGTAGTACAGAATGAAAAACGTTATTTTTCTATATTATTATTTTAATTCCATGTAAGTTGTTAACGATTACATTTTTGTAAACATAATATTCTCGATATTTCTTGTAACGGATCAATATTTGAATGGTTCGGTTTGCATTTATATTTAAGTAGATTTGTTATTAGTGTATGGTCTTTCATTTAATTTGCGTTGTATTTTATACCGTCACTTAGATAAATCACAATCAAGCGAATGTTTAAATGAAAATGACGAAACTACAAATTGGTGACCTATTGTTGTTGCTGCTGGTTATACCATCAAAATAAATGTCATCGACTTGTGATCTCCAGCCTGTAGATATGACGGAGCACCGCCCATATGCCATTTTTGTTGTGATGTAGGGAATATATCCTGAATATATATGTATATCCAGTTTGGGGGTAACGTAAACAAATAAGTATTTATAATCAATTTTCATGATGACTATGATTTGCAAATGCTCACGTATATGTTAGTCGGTTGTGTTTGTGTAGTCGTCTGTATATTTTTATGAATTGTGTTGTGTAACCCTGCAAATAATGCGCCTAACCCTTACACGCGTGTAAAGAGTAGTCCATAACAGACCAGGAGTAGTCCAAAACTAACCCAAATGCATTGAAAAAACCTAACCGATTTAGCATTGCTATGTCCTAGGGCCGGACCATGTAACCCAGCTTTGCATTACATCAAAGTAGTTTCAAAACTAGTCCACGTCATTACTCTATGGTACACCACATACGGTTGATCTTAAAACTAATCCGTGTAACTACTAGCAGGGGCTAGTTTTGAAACCAATCCATTAAGTGGTCTATTAATTTTGCGCTTTTCTCTGATTTAACGATATATACACTCAGAGAAAAACAGGAAATAATACAACATAAGTAATGTACTATAAGTATTAGTGTTTTATTCTATAAAACATAAAAATAAATATTTCATTCTGCAGGTACATTGATAGTCTTTAGTGAGATAAATAATATAAGTAATAATAAATTCATTAAAAAAACTTAAGTAATATTCCAATTCACTGTCATTAAAAAAATTAAAAATTACATGTAATTAACAAATTATATAATTAATTTTTGTTTTTGTTTTGGGAACAAACAACTCGGAAGTGCCTTTTTTTTACGACTTGGAGTGCTGCTCGAAATTCTTTTTCGCTATTGGGGGAATAGTCACTTATTGCAGCTAAAATAAAGAAATTCATTAAAACTTAATAATGTTTTAGAATCAGAATACTTACCAATAACAATTTTATATATTCTTTTAAAATTCTTCTCCAACATTTTTTCCGACAAATACCATCCGTATTGTACATTACGCAAATCTCCCGGGAAAAAATGCGTTCCAAATTTTTTATTGCGCTGCCATCGATTAAATACTTTACAGCAGATATCTAAAAATAAAAAAATATTGAAAAAGTATATAATTTTAAAATTGAAGGTATTTCAACATATATACAATATAGGGCAACGATTACTTACATATTTTTCTTCATTCGAATCGCATATTTCACTCTCAACTTTTTGGAGATCTTCTTCGGATTTGAGGGGAAATTTGCTTGACAGGGAAGTAACATTTTTCTGGGACTTATTGAGGGTTTGCAGCTGTAATTTGTGCTCTGCTAACATTTCCACTATTATTTTGTTTTGCTGTTCTGTTGTTGCTATAAGAGAAAGAACTATATAACAAAAAATAACGATGACGAAAAAAACATTATACTTTACTTTGTAATTTTGAGAGCTGTTCCTGTAATTTTTTTTGTTCAGTCATCATCCCAGCCATCATTTCTATAAATTAAACAATGTTATTAATAAAGACGAAACTCCATATTTAACAAAAACTACCTTTGAGTTCTATGCAAGAACAGCATGGCGTTTCTTTGGCACTATCTGAAAAACATAGTAATATGGCTTTAGAAAATTGAAAAATGTATGTTATAAATTTACTTACAATTAGAAAGTCTGTTGCAAGTATTTAGATGTTTAAGATTTCTGCCCTCCATTTTAAATATTGTCGAATTGCGAAGATATCAGTTAGAATTGCGTAGATTAAAAGTGTTGGCTATATTAAATAAATGAGACGTTAATTTTTGCAACTTTAAATGCAACTATGAAGAATTGGCATTAAAACCACTTTATTTTCAAAGGGCAATGATATTAGTTTGCAATTAATATTTTCAATATTAAATATTTCCTCACTATCTTCTAATATCTTATCAGCAATACATATACCTAATGCTGATAATGAGTCCAATGGCTCTTCAAAAAAAGGACAAATATTTTTTGAAACGTCTCGCTTTAAAAAAAATTTTATTATTCTCTCCTCGTTTGAAGCCTGTAATTTTTAACGGGGTAAATGGCATTACAAGACAAATGTTATCTGGTGTTTTAATGCTCAACCAGTATTCATCACCCAAGTAACCATAAATAAGTCCATTTTTTTCTTTTAACCCCAATGTTTTTGGCTCTTCTATTAAATTTTGCAAGACATTTCTTCTGTGTAATTGATTTAGAATATCAGTCGGTTTGCGAACATCTTTTTTTATCATTTGCAAATGGTTCTCAAAATCATATGCTGAAAAGCTGTACAGCAAACCGTGCTGTTTGACGCATTCACATATATGAAGCAAACTGTGAACATTATAGGTAACGTTTTGAGGACCAAAAACGACACTGAAATTTTCAACAAAGAGTTTCAACAAATCTTCGGCGGCAGCAATGTTATTTTCAAAGTTTTTTGGACATGACAAAAGCCTTATAGCACAATGAAAGACTAAAAACGTGTAATAAAAATCATCACCAACATTGTTTTTTAAGACTAAAACACCAGTGTATAGTAAGAATTCGACGAAATTCTGTAGCTTTCCAGTTCGCAAGTTCATCCAAACTACGAGGCATCTTGTACTTTTTAGTAATACACTTTTTTAATGAAACTAGTAATTTAGATATATTTCCCTTATTCGAAATTGAAATTTTTTCATTCACTTTATTTTTTACTAGTTTCATCAACATTTTCCTAGTTACCCCTAAATCAATAACGTGCATTGGGTCTAAGGAACTTGACTTATCATATTTAAATTTATTTTCTCCAATGGTGTTTTGGTTTCAATAAATTTTAATTGGTGATGATTTTTATATTTCCTTTTAGCAAAGTCGTCATCGTCTATAATTGTACCTACTTCTGAACTATAAGTTAAAACATTGCATATTTTTTTGGCCACTTGGGTACATTTTGAACAACCATTTGCAGATGAATCTCGCGAAGGATTCCTACAAACCAATGATTTTGCGGGAGCATCACAAATCACAGCTCTTATTTTAAAACTAATTTTTTTGCCACCAATAAACAAGTGATTTTCCTGTAAATCGCAAATTTCT